AAAGAATGAATGTATATCACTATCTCCCACCACACACAAAAATCAGTTCAACATTGATGAGAGACCTGGAGTTAAAGCTTGAAACCATAAAATATGTAGAAGAAAGCAAAGGCAAAACACATCATGAAAGAAACTTCAGTGATATCTTTTTAAATTCATACACAACAGCAAAGAAAGCAAAAGGGAATATAAGCAATCATGATTTTATTAACCTGAACAGTTTCTGCACTGTGAATGAAACCATAACGAAAAGGCAAAACATCCCCCTGATTGGAAGAAGTTATTAGTCACCATGCATCTGACTAGCTGGTAATACCAAAGATGTACAAAAAACTCATACATCTTAACAAATGAAAACTAAATAACCCAATCATGAACAGTAGACATAAATAAACAGTTCTTCAAGGAAGACAAAAAGATGGTCACAGGCACATGAAAAAAAGATTTGTCACTCACCATAAAGGTAATGCACATCAAAACCACAGCACATTGCCGCATGATTGCTGTGACAATGGCCTGTATCAAAAAGACTAGAAACACCAAATGGTGGTGAGGATAAGGAAATTTCTTACTGGTGGGAAGACAGACTGTTTCAGCTCTTAGGGAAAATGGTATGCAGGGTCCTCAAAAGATTAAATATAGATTTCCCCTATGACCCAGTACTCCCACTCCCAGGTATCTACCCAGAGAACCCCAAAACAGCAATTTGAAGGGAAACTTGCTATTTCCCTTATTCATTGAAGCTTAATTAAAATAGCAAAAATATATACAATTGCCAAAACAAATGTTTTGAAGTATGCCATTTATACATAGTAGTATACTTATTTATTGATCAAAAATGATAAACTTTTAAAAATACTTATTTATGCATACAAGAACAGGAATACAGGACAGAGGTGCAGGAGGTGAGAGGATTCACCAGAGACAGAAAAGGAAAAGAATAGGCTGACCTACTGAAATACACTGCTGAGGGGAGCAGTAGATGAAACAGGAGAGGTCTGCTGCGCCATGTGGGTCACCTCTGCTGAGGATCGAACTTGTGCTGCAGTGGCCGTGGACAGCTTCACAGTGTTGTGCAACCTGAGTGTCCAATTTTATACGAGTGGATTAAATAGATGTGGTGCAACTATATGCACAATGGCATACTGCTATGTATATACATCAATAAAATATAAATTTATAAAAAAAGATCAATGCTTGCAATTTGAAACATGGGCGTAACTGGAAGGGATAATGCTAGTCAAAATAAGTCATAAGAAGAAAGGCATATAGAGAAACAAAACAAAGGGTCACATGATAACATAACAAAAACACACCCTGGATATGTAACGGTAGAATTGAGGCTACCAGAAGGGTAAGAGTAGGTAGACAGAAAAGGGGGTGATTTCCCAATGGACTATAGGAGAGAACTATGGATGTGTCTTGATGCGTCAGGTGTGATAACATAACTGAACACATGTGAATCTTTATCTCTGGATCCTATAGTGTGTTAAACCAATGTTACCTCAATAAAAAGCAAACAAACAAATAACACTATATGAAACAAAAATATGAAACTCTATGAATAGCTATGAAAATTATATGAAACAAAAAACACTATATAAAACAAAAAGTGAAAAAAAGTATATGAAAAAACTAAATGAAATAATAGAAAAATACAAGTACTTCAAAAACTGGAATATATACACTATCCTATGGAATAACATCACCAATCCAGGCATATTTTAATAGCCTGAAATACTTTTTAAGAAAACAAAACAGGGTCCTCCCTGGTGGCGCATCAGGTTAAAGGTTAAAGCACAGCACTAAGAAGCTAAAGCCACTTCATGTTGAGTTCGAGCCCCACCCCGGAGGTGATCCACATGGCGCGGCAGATCTCTCCTGACCTGCCCACTGCTCCCCTCAGCACTGTACTTCATCAGTCAGCCTGTTCTGCTACCTGCTCTGTCTCTGGTGGATCCTCTCATCACCCCTGAACTTCTGGCCTATATCTCAGTTCTGTATGTATAAATAAAATAAATCTTAAAAAAAAAAAGAAAAGAAAACAGAAAGAGGTCACCAAAACAGAACTCAATTTTCCTATTGAAGTGTATAAGTAAAAAAAGTTTGCTAAACAGGAAACTGTTTTTTCTTTATCTGAGCCATATGTTGCAGAAAATATATTTTTGGAAAAACAATTCTTTTCTGTACCTATAAAATTTACAACTGAAGAGACCTACATGGAAAAATGGAAAAGTAGGGGTTTTTGTGGGTTTTTTTTGGTAATTCATGCACCTTTACCCATTGTTAAATTGTAGCATTTTTTTATTATAAAGGCGTTTTCCTGTATATATGTATACTTCATAATTTAAAATTAATTGATCTTCATTAATTAGATCCATAAATCAAACATAAATGGGGGTATTTAGTCATATCCTCTCTTATTTTCCATCACTATCAAATTTCTAAAACATAAACTAATGCTGTTTCTTTTCTACTTAAAATACTCTTAAATTGTGAGATAAGGAACAGAGAGGAAGGGAAACCTTTTACTTTTTAATGCTATAAATTTTGATATTTACAAATTTGATACAATGGGTATGCAAGAAAGAAATACATCAAAATTTAACACAAGGGAAAAAGGAAAAATTATTCTAGTTCAATTGCCCTTTAAGGGCTTCCCTGGTGACACACAGGGTTAAGTGTCTACCAGCCACTGCAGCAAGAGTTCAATCCCCGCCTGAGGGGTGACCCATGTGGCATAGCAGCCCTCTCCTGTCTGCCTGCTGTTCCCCACAGCAGTGTGTTTCAGTCAGTCTGCTGGTTTTGCTCTCCACTCTGTCTCTGGTGAGTCCAATTACCCCCTCACTCACCTCTGGCCTACATCCAGTACTTGAATGCATCAATCAATAAAAATATCTTTAAAAAAGACAAATTGTGGCCCTCACTGGTGGCACAGCAGGTTAAAGCACAGCACTAAGAAGCTAAAGTCATGTCAGCATGAGTTCTCTTCCCCCCACCCAGGTGATCCATACCGCGCGGCAGACCTCTCCTGACCCTCCTGCTGCCCCCGTCAGCAGTGTACTTCCTTAGTCGGCCTGCTCTGCTCCCCACTCTGTCTCTGGTGAATCCTCTCACTTCCCCTGCACCTCTGGCCTGTACCCCAGTTCTGTGTGCATAAATAAATAAATCTTTAAAAAAAGACAAGTTGCCCACAAGATAAAGTTTGAAAGTCTTATCCAAGTAGAAAGGGCCTTCAATCTGAAATTTTTTATTTTCTCGTTAAGATTCATCTCAGTACCAAAGTGCAAATGGCGAACAATGGTTTATGGTGAAGAACTATGAGTGCTTTGCTGGTGAGTGTGGCATGATACATCTGAGGAGGTGTGAGCCTACTCCCTTAAATGATATATAATTTTGTAGGCTAATATTACCTCAAAAAATTTTATTTTATGTACTCTACATGTGCACACATACCTCTAATATCCAGTGAAATAGAACTTTCTTTCCAAAAAGACATGATTCCCCCCTCCTGTTTGTTGTTTGTTTTTTTTTTTTTTTGGTGTGTGTACATTTATTCAATCTAGAAAACCCTGTCCTCATTTCCAATGAGATTACTGCAATATCCAGCTCAAAGCACACATCACTCCATAGCAGAATTAGTGTTCTAGCCCTTGGTATCGTACAGTGTCATATTACATAACAACTTCCTCCATTAAATTGTAGATAGGGAAAGAATCATGAATGATATTTTGAGACTTCTTTGTACCTTTATGCCTTTCCTTTTTTCTCCCTCTTCCCCTATGCCTGTCCCTGAACATTGAAGGCATTAAGTCAATGCCTGTTAAAGGAGCAAATTAATACATTAATACATTGATATCTTTTTCTAGAGCAATAGAACTTACGTCTAGTGAATATTCTTTTCTTTTAATTTTTAAAAAAGATGTATTTATTTGTGCATATAGAAATGGGGTACAGACCAGAGGTGTAGGGGTGATGAGAGGATTCACCAGAAACAGTGGGGAGCAGAACAGGCAGATCCATCAAGTACACTGCTGAGCAGCAGGCGAGACAGGAGAGGTCTGTTGTGCCATGTGGATCACCTCCATGCCAGGGATTGAACTCGCACGGAAGCGGCCATGGCTCGGCTTAGCTCGCAGTACAGCACTCCAACCTGCCATGCCACCAGGGAGGGCCCCTAGTGAATATTTTTAAAGCAGTTAATAAAATATCTGACTATAAAGTGAGGATACCAGAGGGCAAGGGCCATGGTAGAAAGCATGGTGCCTGCTTGATGATGGGGGAGGACTACAGGTTGCTTGGTGGTGGGTGTGGTAACATACATCTGAAGAGTGTAATCCCAGACCTCTGAATTGTATCCTGTATGCCTGTATGCTATGATACCAATGTTACCTTAATAAATTTTTAAAAATGAGAAACAAGTGTTTAATAAAGAATAAAGAGTAAATGTCACTCAACCCGAGATCTAGTTTGGTATTTGTTTTGTCCCAACTTCTGTGACTGGCCGCAAGAAAGGAAGGCAGGAGGCAGAAAGGCTGAGCAAGCAGAGTTTATTGTTCCGGGACAGCAGCTGAGACTGAGCCCTTAGAGTGGGGTCCGCAGCTACTGCCAACTCAATAAGGGGGAAGGGTCTCTTATATAGGTCCTAAGCTCAGATTTCAAAGGGGTGACTCATCGCTGTGTCCTTGATGTAAGGCCCAGTTCGTTATCACCTTCATCTATTCCCATCCTGATGCAAGGACCCGTTAATTAGATGCAAGGCCCAATTTATTACCACCTTGTCACCTTTGGATGCAAAGCCTGATTTATTATTGCCCTTATCCAGTCCCTCAGTAAATCTCCGCATTTGGTCACTCCCAACAGTATGTTGGTTTATACCTCCAGTTTTGGAATAAGACATCTCAGGGTTTACTTTTACCTTCCACAAATCTCTAGCAGTGAGAACTCCAGCAAGTGATTTCCCCTAAGTGGGTGATAAAAGCAGCTCAAAGTTGCCTCCTTCAGTCCATGATCTGAGATTCAGGGTCTATGTGCAGGTAGCCATGGTTCATTACCAGAAATTCTGTGAAAAATTCTTGGAGAAGCAAATAATGATAGTTGAGGTAACAAAACTGATTGCCTGGAGTAGTCATTATGACACAGGAGTTGCCCAGCAATGAACTCATCATAATGTCTTCTCTTCCACCTATATCTGAAACAACTGTAGTGACAATAATGGGATGGAATGGACACAAAGAGGGTACGCCATTCCATGTTAAGTTCATGAGTTTCAAGCCTGTGGGTTCCAAGAATTAGATGGCATTGTGGTGCATGAATAATGTCAAGCTGGAGTTACGCAACATGGTTTCCAATTTTAACTTTAACAGATGGTGTTTCATTGGTTGTGGGTCCATTAATCAGTGGCTAGCCATCTATAGTGGATGCATAGCTTCCCTCAAAGAACCATGGAATAGTCAAAGAACCACGGAATGGTCAATGCTGTTTCTATAGAAGCCTGAATCCACCATTATTTGCTCAAAGAACTCTCTTCTTCCCAGCCAGATTTCAACAGTAAGCCATAGGGTATGGGGCATTGATATTGGAAGAGAGAGTGACACACCTGGGTTCTCCTTACCTCTGACACTGATGTTCCTTACTTGTTGTGGATGATGAGGTAAGACAAGGTAACCTCAGGAAAAATGACCAGGGTGACCATACTAAAGGTACAGGTGACTTTAGTGTTTCTGAGGTTTGCATGGTTACTCATGGCTTATATAAACTGGCCTTTAGATGATAGAAACTCAGACCCAGCTCTTCTTGGTGGAACTTGCACCTTGCGGATTTGTATGAGGCTTACCAATTACTTTCTTCTAGGCTGATATACTGGCTGATTATATCACATATGTTGGTGGGTTGACTTTGGACAAGACAATTTATCTTGGATAGTACTGTCAGGCACTTTCTGAAATTGGAAGAGAATGTTTTCAGCCAAGTTTAGCTCCTGAGCAGTGAGGTAGAAGTGAGGCGCATAAAGTGAGTCTTCCCCTTGGTAGGGCTGACAAAATTGGTGGTTGGCACCTTCCCTGTTTTCTAATTGTCAGAAGTATCCTGAAACACTTGTATACAATTTTCAAATTAATTCAGGAGGGGGATTTGGATGTGTACTAAAGATTGAAAGTGCTTTCCTGCCTCATTCGAGTTGTAGTTTCCAACAAAACTCACCAGGACAGCAACTACGGAACACAGGTGCCCCCTGAATCTCATTAGCTGTTCAATTTAACCAGGATCTCAGGGAGCTTCTGAGCATCCTTAATGAAGTTTAAAGCATCATCTTGGATGAAAGCTTCAGCCTCTAGTCTCCTGGGTAACTGTGGAAACTCTGAAACTACTTAAGTCTCAGCTGCTAGTATGACCTCCTGGGACGCGTGGGGCACAGAGACCTGTAGGAGATCTTGGGTATCTGAAAATCACAGGTGTCTGAGGGTGCTGAAAGTACAAGAAACTCCAGGCTTGTCAAGGCCTCCTGGAATTTCTGTGCCTCTTGGGACTCCTGGACATTTGGAGGATTCTGGGGCACTAAATTCTTGGGTTTCTGGGATTCATGGTTCATTGAGGGAATGTCTGATAATTTTTTAAAAGCTTTATTTATGCTTACAGAACTAGGGTACAGATCAGAGGTGTGGGGGGTGTGAGAAGATTCACCAGAGACAGAGTGGTGAGTAGAAGAGGCAGATCGATGAATGAAGTACACTGCTGAGGGGAGCAGCGGGTGAGTCAGGAGAGGTCTGCCATGCCATGTGGGTCTCCTCGCTGGCTGGGGATCGAACTCGTGCTGCAGTGTCTGCTATAGCTTCATAGTGCTGTGCTTTAACCCGTTGCACCACCAGGGAGGGCCCTGCCTGATGATTTTTAGCCTCTGGAAACTTTTGGCATTTCCAGGATGCTGAAAGCTCATGTGCCATTTAGGGGTTCCTGGGATTCCTACGATTTTGGGGATACATTGGCTTCTGTTCTCCTGGGTCATTTGGAAACTCCTAGGCTGTCAAGGACTACCAGGGTGGTTGTTTCTGGGACTCTGTTAACTTCTGTAATAATTCACCCTCCTTGGGTTCTTAGTATTCTGGAGTTCTGGGATCTGGGTGTGCAGGGTCATTTTCTTCCATCAGCAACTGCACGTGGCCTGAAGAATATCATTCTCCAATATCAGAGAAACATAGTTGCCATCATTTGAGGAGGTGGGCTTTGTTTGGCAGATTGTTGACAAGAGAGTTTGAGTTGGTATTTGTGAGGTATCTCTAAAAGCCTCTCACAGGCAGATGTCAGACACTTTGAGTATTCTAGCTGATGAAGCTCAGCAAAAACAAAGTAAATAAACCAGTCAAAAATAGGCAGAAGATCTAAAAAGACACTGTTCCAAAGAGGAAGTAGAAATGGCCCACAGGCATTAAAAAAAATGTTCAACATCACTCTAATCAGGGATATACAAATCAAAACCACAATGAGATACCACCTCACACCAGTGAGAATGGCACATATTAAAAAGACTAGCAAGAAATGTTGGTGAGGATGTGGAGAAAAAGGAACTTTCCTACTCTGTGGTGGGAATGCAAACTAATACAACCACTGTGGAAAACTGTTTGGAGGTTCCTCAAACTGCTAAACATCGAGCTTCCCTACGACCCAGCAATCCCACTCCTAGGTATCTACCAAAAAGACAAAAAAACTGATTCAAAAAGATACCTGCACCCCCATGTTTATTGCTGCTTTACTTACAATTGAAAAGACATGGAAACAACCCAAATGCCCAAAATTGGATGACTGAATTAAAAAGATGTGATACATATGCACAATGGAATATTACTCAGCAACCAAAAAAAGTAAACACATGTCTTTTGCAGCAACATGCATGGAGCTGGAAAAGATCGTGCTTAGTGAAATAAACCAGAAAGAAAAGGAAAAATACCACATGGTGTCACTCATAGCAGGAGTATAACGGACCAGGGGAGAAAATAAATAATAAGAATGAACAGGTATATGCCAGAGACATTTTATGGGGTGGAGTGGAGAATGGGATCAAAAACAATGGGGGGAGGGAAATGCACTGGATTGTGGTGATGGCACAGGGTGATTTGGGGGATGGGAAGCCCACAGGGATTACAACTGAGATGGAAAATTGCACAAAATGATGTAAAAATAAACTATTATGTTATTTAAAAGAATTCATAAATATTAGTTCTTAGAGGGAAGGTGTTTATCTTGTTGTTCAAAGCTCTATTTATAATGTATAGGAAAAACATGTATATATTAAGCATGGGGCTTTGAAATGAATGACTTACATAATATTAAATGGAATATTTCCTTTATATTTGTGCTCTCCATACTCTTTCTTCTCTTCAACCTGGATTATTAATCCATGTTAGTGGCATTGGGGAAGAGTAAAAGAGAGTAAGTCAGGGCACAAATGTGAGGATATGTGTCATAACATTTATACTCCAATTATACCCCTGCGATAGCATTAAGATGAAAAAATTGCCCTTTTTTGAGAGTCCACCCTGCACTGGTAAGTTAATCATAGGTGAACTCTCATAGTAATTGATCAAATATCTCTCATGTGTGTAAATCCCTGTTTGGTTGACAAGTGTCCAAGCCAAATCTGCTGCATCAGACCATCTTTAATATTTATTTATTGCTGTACTTTCTGATTCTGCCTCTTTGTGTTTATAAAATGAAACCTGCCTTTGTGAATAAAAAGATGAAAAAAAAAAGATTATCAAGAAATGTTGGAGAGAATGTGGAGAAACAGGAACTCTCCTACACCACTGGTGGGAATGAAAACTGGTCCAACCACAATGTAAACTGTTTGGAGGTTCCTCAAACTGCTGCTAAAAAAGGAGTTTCCATTTGATCCAGCAATTCCACTTGTGGGTATTTACCCAAAATGACACAAAATCATTAATTCAAAAGGATACCTGCACTCCTATGTAGGTAAGTGATGGAAACAACCCAAATGCCCAAATATAAATGACTGGATCAATAAGATATGATACATATATCCAATGGAATATTAGTCAGTAATGAAATGATAAACTCATGCCATTCATAGCAACCTGGATAGAGCTGGAAGGGATCATGCTCAGTGAAATAAGCCAGAAAGAAAAGAAAAATACTGGATGATTTCACTCTTAGGAGTGTGTGATTATTCAAGTAAGGAATCAGAGAGAAAAAAGAAATTAGAATAAAGTAAATATCAAAATTAATAGACAACTATAAGCCGGAGACATTCAGTAGGTGGCGAGAGGGAGTAGGATTCAAAAAGGGATGGGAAGAGCATAAGGAAATATGGTGATGGTACATGGGTGAACTGGTGGTGGGAACTTTGTGGGGACTACACCTGAGATGAGTAAGTACACATTGCACAAAAATGAAAACTGATATTAAAATGTATATATATAAACACACACACACAATAAATAAGAATAAAACCGGTTGCCCTGGGCTTTCCTTTGTGGCACAACGGGTTAGGATGCAGCACTGCAAGCTAGCCCCAGCTGCTTCAGTGTAAGTTCAATCCCTGTCCCAGAGGAGACCCACATGGCACAGCAGACCTCTCCTGACCCGCCCGCTGCTCCCTCAGCAGTGTACTTCATCAGTCTGCCTTTTCTGCTCCCCTCTCTGTCTCTGGTGAATCCTCTCACTGCCCTGCACCTCTGCCCTGCACACCAGTTCTGTATGCATAAATAATTTTTTTCTAAAAAAGGAATAAATTCTGCCCAGCAGCTGAATTTCTTTTACTAAAGTCTCATATTCATAGCTGGGTCATATATGCTGCCACTGAGCCCACGATATTTTAAGAGCAGTATCTGACTCAAGCTGTGTATGTCATCTTGCATTCATTTTATGAAACATAACTTTAGACCAGAAGCAATTTCTCCGTATTTTTTGTTTGTTTTACATAGTCTTTTATTTCTAATGTCTGCCCAACAGTCCAATATAACATTTGAATTTTACTGGCCAGATTGAACAATTAAATCAAGGTGGTATTTCCTCCTTTTCCTCCTCCTCCTTTTTTTTTTTTTTGCAATGTGAACATTCTTGGTTCTGTGGTGGATCAACCCCAGAGATATTTTTAGTGTGCGGGGGTAGAAGGGATGGGGGAACTTTTCCCGATATCTCAGAAATCATACCACATAAGTAACCACACCAGCCAAGCATAAAGAGAAAAAAAAAAAACAAGAGTTCATCAAAATGGATGGGGTGAGAAGAGTGCACGGGTCTATAGTGATGGCACCTGGGTGGATTGGTGCTGGGAAGACTGTGGGGATTACAACCAAGATGAAAAAAAATGCACAAAGTGAAGAATGCTGTAGTAAATAAATAAGTATATATATATATATATATATATATATATATATATATATACATATATATAATTAATGAAAATAAATAAATTTAAAAGAAAACAAGCAAAAGTTGAAAGTTGACTATCCAACTATGTTGAGTAGACATATACGTATTATTTTTAAAATGCCTCAAAATAGTTAAGAAAATAATTTTTATAAATGTATGTTACCATGCCGAGACTTAATCTAAAAACTCAGCTGTCTTCATACTCACAGCTGAGTGTATGAATGGCTGTAGACGTTTGACTTTTCTGCACATACTGAACTCAAACAAACACACCCACTCACAGAACACATTACAACTCTCTTCTGTACCATAACTATTTTGAATCTGGAAGAATTTTTTTGAGAGCTCTACAAAATTTAGAACTGCAAGGAAAATAGATGATGCTCTAATATAAGAAAGATTCATGTGATCAGTCCTTCATTGCTATAATGAATATTTGGCCAGGAAATTTCGGGTAATACCATTGCCTTTCTGAAAAGTTGCAAACATTTCTCTTGATCACAATGGTTTCGGACTTTGTTTTTTATATCTGTTTGGTGTGACCTGCCCTTACTTTATCCACACTGGGTCTTTTGTTGAAATCTCATGCAGGAAAAGCTAGTGTACGTCAGCCCCTTCTCCTGCACTCTTACTCAGCCCTTCTTTCCAATGTTTTCTTGGAAAATTTACCATGGACACATCTAGGCAAGTGATAATGAGGTATGATTGTGGAGACCAACTTTGTTGAAGAGAATTTGAAGTCTTCAGGGCCCTGGTTCCTTCTGAAAGACTTGTTCCAGAATTGCCATTTTGCCATGAAGATCAGGTGCTCTACAATGCATCCAGACAGCATATTAAGGGCTGGATTTTTGAGAAATATCTTTACTCAACATCTACTTTCTCTTCTTATGACAAATCACAGTTACTCCCTGGGCACAAGTCATGTTGCCATTTTAAGTAAGACTCAGGTGCAGCTATCTTTTTCTAGTAATGAGTGGAGTTCGGAATTACATTTGGCCACTTCAACTCACACATCAAGCACACACCATTTATGGTCTCAGTTATCCTTTAACAATGGTCAGTAATACATTACAGCATAAAGGATAAAATCTGGTGATGGAAACCCAAACAAATTGATAGACTGGAATGCCTGAACATGTATGCAGAGGCTTTGCAATGAGAAGTAAAGGCCTTTATAAATTGAATTATACTTCCACACTACCT